TGGGGGCGTCTGGGGCCAGCTTCCGAGACCTGCTGCACGCTGCGGAACCCCCCAGTCTCGGGGTTTTTCTGAGAGAGTCCCAGGCACGGCCCGGGACTAGCTCCGCTTCTGGACCCAGATCCGCGGCTCTGCTCCTCCCCGGGGGCGGCCCCGCCGGTTTCCCTGGACTCTCACCCCGGCTGCAGGACCTGGGGGGTGCCCCACCCACCTGGGCACCCCGGGACTGCGCCTCTTCCGGCGCTTCCGGCTCGGCGTGCGCTCCTCGCTGGGAGCCGGGTCCTGGAGGTCTGCACGTGGAGAAGGGGACCAACGTCACGGGGCTCGGGCGGGGGAGGCGCGTCCGCTTCTGTAACTCAAAGGGCGAGAAGCCAGGGAGTCAGGCCGAGGACCGCAAGCACGGAGCGCAGGGGGGGGGGGGCGCCGAGGGTGTCAGGCACCGGGGCCCGGTCCCACCCACCCCAACAGAGGCAGGAACCGAGCGGGCCGCCTTCAGAGCGCGCGACTAGGCTGGGCGCTGGCAGCGCGGGGACTATGGGGTCCGCGCAGCCGTGGGCCCGGAGCCGCGAGGGGTTGTACGGAGGCAGAGTCAGAGGCCAGAGTTCCCGGGACGCTGAAAGGAGGGGCGCTCCCAGACCGCGCGGAGACAGCCCTTGGGGCGACCCCAGCTCGTTCCGGGCAGCGCGCGGCCAGCCCCCCGAGACTGCAGGGGTGCAGGTGGGCCGCCGCACCGGGCCCGGTCGGCCTCTCGCGCTCGCCGGCCGATCTGATCTGGAGCCGGTTTTACTGACACTTCAGTCAGAACTCGAGGCCGAAGAAGCCGGCAAGGCCTTTTCCTTTGTCTTCTCCGCAAACTGCTGCGAGCGCGTAGCGCGAGCGCGCCCGCACCCCGGCCCCGCAGCCCCCGCGCCCCGCGCGTCCTGAAGGGCCGAGGAAGGGCATGGGGGCCGCGAGCGCCCTAGATCACACGGGGGGGAAGGAGGCGGAAGGGACCGTAGGGGGCCCCCGTGGAGGAGGCAGGCGGACCGACCGCCGGCAGGTGCCGCCCCTGCGAGGGCGTGAGAAGCGGAACAGAGAAGAGGACCGGGCCCACGCGGGACAGCGGGGCGAACCGGACCCAGGCCCGTCAGGGTGTCCTCACGAGCCGCCCAAGCTGCAAACCAGCGGCTTCGCTAGGGTACGGTTAAGCGCTCGGAAAAAAGGAGCCATCTGATCAAAAAGGATAACGGGAGGGCGCAGCCGAGCATGCGCGGGGCCTCAGCCGAGCATGCGCGGGGCCTCAGCCGAGCATGCGCGGGGCCGCAGCCGAGCATGTGCGGGGCCGCAGCCGAGCATGCGCGGGGGGCGGAGCCGAGAGGCTGCGGCAGGACCCGCAGCCGCAGCGCGACGGGGAGGAGGCAGGAGCCGACGCTGCCGCCCAGGGGCGGTCCCGGCTGCAAGGACCTGAGTTCTGCCCACAACCACGTGCGCCTCGACGAGGACCGCGGTGCCGGTGGGGCCGCAGCCCGGCCGCCTCACAGCCTGGAGAGGACTTGGAGACCCGCAGGCGGTGTGGGATCACGGAGGCGGTGTGGGATCACGGAGGCGGTGTGGGAACACGCCCAGGCTGGGGACAGGGCTGGAGGGGAGACATGGGAGGCCCGAGAAGAGGATCCGGTCTAACAGCAGGGCGGCAGGGCACCAAGGCCAGCCTAGAGCCAGTCGGGAGGACGGCCCAGGGTAGCCGTTCCTGCAGTGCTGACGACACGCCCAGTCCTCTCCTGAGGCACTCCCAGAGGCGAGGAGGGAGACCAGGTGGGCAGGGCACTGAAGGTGCCAAGACCAGGTGTGGAGGGCTTCCCCAAGGGAGGTAAAGGCCCACCCAACAGCCGCTGGTCTGGGGAGTCACAGACGCAGAGTGGAGCCCCCGAACCCTGGCAACTCCGTCTGCTTCTCTGGTCCCCATCCACCTGGCCTCTGAAACACGGGTCCCCTTGAGTGACAGGAAACTGTATGACGACACACAGGTGGGCAGGCAGTGGTGAGAAATGAGATCGGCGTCCACATCTCGACAGTGGGAAGCCCTCTCTGGACCTTAGTTTTCCACCTGAAAATGGGACACCTGTGCCCGTTACACCAGAGCCCTGGTGGCACAGTGGTCAAGTGTTCCTCTAGTAACTGAAACGTCGGCTGTTCAAAAAGCCATCAGCTGCTCGGTGGCAGTCAGCATCCATGAAGTTTAAAAAAACACCTCACTGCTGTGGAGTTGGATCTGACTCATAGCCACCTCCTGGGGTGGTATCTCTAAGGAAGTAGATTGCCCAACCTTCCTTCCTAGGAGTGGCAAGTAGCTTTGAACCACCAACCTTCTGGTTAGCAGTCACATGCCTTAGGCACTAGGCCACCAGAACTTCTCCATAAAGATTTAAAAAAAAAAAAAAAAAAAAGCTCACTGCTGTGGAGTTGACCGGACTCATAGCGACCCCTCCTTGGGTTTCCGAGGC